AGTATTGTCCCTTTAAGGGCTCTCTTCAACGGGGGTCGGGGGGGGGGGGAGGAGGTGAAGGGAGAAAGGGATGGACAGAAAGGACAGGAAGGCTTTGGAAGCAAATTTTTTGTACTATAGTAATTAAAATTAAAATGTGAATTTTAGATAAGGGTGGTCCTTTGAAGGATTTATTTAAAAAACGATATATCTAAAGATCCAAGCATTTAAGGCTAAAGATGAATACTCAGATTGTGCATCTAAAAATCTATGCAAGGAATTTTTAGAGATGTGATTTTATCATCTTCAGCAACACACTAATGAAATATTTTTAAAGCAAATTTTAAACTAAGATCCTGTAGACTAACATGTTCTGAGTAAATATTACAGTAATGCACAACTGTTTTTGTCAGTAAATTCGGAAACTGACAGTATATACCTGGGGGTTGGCAAATGCCTGCTAAATGGCTTCATTACTACTTGAATGGCTCTTTCACAGGTTCAATGTTGTGCTAATAGGTCTGGAAGGCTTTTTCACTTTTAAGTTACTAGATCCTCTGGGGAGGAAGACTCAAAAGGCTGCAGCAGCTAGTGGTGGGAGCCTGCAGGAAGGGTCAGAACAGGGATAGGAAGAGGAGGGAGGGTGGACACTAAGCCCCAGAGGTGCCCCAAATTTTCGGGTTCCCTACGCAGCCTTGTATGCTGCATATGCCTAAGGATGGCCCTGCACATGGGGCTGAAAGCCCAGGGCCCTGAGCCCCGCCATCCAGGGCTGAAGCCAAAGCCTGGGCAATGTAGCTTCGCGGAAGCCCCTGTGGCATGGGGCCCCAGGCAACTGCCCTGCTTGCTATCCCCTAACACAGGCCCTGGCTTTAATATGCAGAAAATCAATTATTGTGGTACAGGTGGGCCATGTTGTGGGGGCCTCAAAAAGGGAAAGGTTGAGAACCTCTGCAATAAAAGACATGAGGTCACACAACTTGTCTTTCTAATAGGTAAAAAGTCACCAAAGAGACAACCCCCTCTTCTACAGTACCTTTTGGACCATCGATAGCAGACCCTTCCTTGCCCACAGCAGTTCAGACCAGGTATTCTATGGCCCCCAGATCGTTTCATGATCATACCTTCTCTGAAACAAATGTAAAGATGACAAATAAATGGCAAATTTGATACATGCATACACAGCTTATTAATTATGCCTAGATGAAGCTATATGGAATCTGACCTGGAGGTACATAGGCGAGGTCAAACACAGCACTGTAACATCTGTCTGCCCCTTTCACCTCATTGGGGTGGCATGGGCAGAATGGAGCAGAAGTGGCTCACCTCTCTCTCATTTTCTATTGCCAGGTCGCCTCTCTTATTCTCCTTGCGTCTCAGACATTTCATCCACCTCCCAAGCAGTGGGTGACTTGAACCTAACTCTATTGTACATCCAGCAAATGAACTGAACCCACACCAGTCACAGCAGTGGTATTGTAATAAATACTATGCCAGCAATAAGAAGGGCTAAGGATAAAGTCTCAGCTTACAAATGAACTGAGGGCAAAGAGGCATCTAGGGTGCAAACAGGGAACGGTCAAGGGGGCAGAATGAAGGCCATGGAGGATTAGGTGGATAGATGATACATCCAACCTAGCCTCCCACTTGGCAAGGAAAGCGAGAATCACTTCTGTGCACAGCAGGAATGAGTTAGAGCTAAGGGCTGCAGCGCAGACTGAAGCACTACAAGCTTAAGGGCTTATCTACGCCAGGGCCCGAGCTTCCACTAGGCGACCCTAGGCGGTCACCTAGGGCGGCAGGATTTGGGGGGCGGCATTTTGCCGCCCTCGGTGGAAATTTGGCCGCGGGGGGTCCTTCTGCTCCGGATCTTTGGCAGAAATTCGGCGGCGGGTCCTTCACTCGCTCCAGGACCCGCTGCCAAAGTGCCCCAAAGACGCAGAGCTGAAGGACCCCCGCTGCCGAAGACCCCAGGCACCCTGAATGCTCAGAGGAGGAGTGCTGCCGCCTAGGGCAGCAAAAACCCTGGCACCGCTCCTGGTCTACGCTGGCACTGTACAGCGCTGCAACTTTCTCCCTCAGGGATGTGAAAAAAACACACCCCTGAGCACTGCAAGTTTCAGCGCTATAACGTGCCAGTATAGACAATGAGTGCACCAGCGCTCAGGGCTGGTAGCTACACCCCTCGTGGTGGTGTTTTTTTTAGAGCGCTGGGAGCTGTGCCACGACTACACAAGCCATGTTAAAGGTTTATCGTTGCCAGTGAATACGTGCCCTTAGTCTGAAAATGTCAACGTGGTGAAGAGCTCTTAAATCTGCGAGAGGGCCTAACACAGAGAAGGTTCCGTCCTTCTTGCCCACTGTCAAGTCCTTCCCTGTTTATAACACTGGATGCCTGGAATCACTGCATTTCAAACACCCATGTCCCATCCAAATAATCTGAAGGAAGTTTCACTACTGCCTGCGAGGCCGTTTACAAACGCAATAGACACTTTTGGTGGTAACCGAAACAACACAGTTTCTATTTAATAGTGTTCAAAAGAAAGGAATTAAGTGTCAATCCCCGGCTAAAGGAAACTTCGGAAATGTTGGGAAGTTTAAAGACAAAAATTGACCTTTCTTGATTTCAGTGCACTCTTTTCATGTCACCATCATACAAGAAATAAACTAACCAGTGATGTAAGCATGTTATGTCAGGGACTGTACATTGCTCTGGTTGTCTGCATTGGGCCACATTATTATTTGATGCAACTCCAGTCAATGACAGGATGAATTTGGCCCTGTGAGTCTGGCAATGAAATGTTTTCTGCCTTTTACATTTATTATTATTTCCACAGTTGTAATATCCTCTTGTGAATAATAATGGAGGACAAGATGTTCCCAAATTAATTGCTAGCTTAGCAGGAAAGCTACCAATTTGGACAGTCTCTCTTTATAAAATGATACTCTTGATGAAATGTGACTCACACAAAGAAATAAAATTCAACTTACATGCCCTTTGGTCCTAGATCATGGATAAATGACAGCTGACTTACACCAATGAATTCCATCTGGAAAATAAAAAGTTCCCCATTGTTTATATTTTGGACTCCCAAAATCAGTTTGCTTGGAAAAATAACACTGATAGCGAAAATAATTCATCAGCAGGAAAAGGTGGGAACATCTTTTTTAGGGCTCAATCCAAAACCCACTGAAGTCAACAGAAATGTATGTGTTTTGGATCAGTCCTTGCATCAGACCAAAACAACCAAAATCAGATTTTATGGGGCATTATATGTGGTTATTTAGAGGCTTGGTAAAAACCCATTGGAACCGTCACCTGTAGTTCACTGATTCAAATTCAGTTCACATCAGTAATGATAAAATTTACCATTGCTTGATAAGTGTCTGGTGACCTATGTGAACTGAGTTCATAGACTCAGTTCAGTTTTCACTAGGTGTGTGTCTGCCTCATGCCAGTTGGCTCCACCAAAAGACCAGTGATTAAATGGACAGACAAAAATTGCTAATATAAACTAGAAGTCTGTTGTAATCTCATGTAAAATGTTTGGTTTCATCAACTGACCCCAATTCAAAAAACCTTGAAATTATCCAGAGAGATCACAGGAGAATATACAGATAAGCAGAAGTGTAGTCCTCTTGTCATTAGCAAACTAATGACAAGAGGACTACATATCTGCATTAAAATCTAGAACTAGACCTCTTCCAACCAACCAGGCTTTCTTGGCAGAGTAAGCCATTCCTGGCATATATGCTGCTGCTTAATCGTTTCAGATCCAGTTAGAGAGCGTCTCTCACCACTGGGTTGAAAGTGAGAGCAGAATCTGACCCACGTGATACAGAGCTAAACAGATTTCAGCCACTCTCCTTTGTCTGTATCGGGTTAATTAGCCAAAGTGCACAAACACTCAGGGGGAGGAAGCAGGAGATGGTTCTCTCATTTGATCTGGCAGCAAGGAGGCAGAAAGAAGAACTAGGGTTACCATTCGTCCGGATTCCCCGGGACGTGTCCGGCTTTTTTCAGTTAAAAATAGCGTCCGGGGGGAATTTGTCAATGTCCGAACTTCCCCTCGCCCCCCATGCAGAGCGTGCGGGGCTTACAGGATGGTGCCACTCGCAGGGGGCTCCGGCAGCCAAAGCCCTTCCTCCACTTCCCCCCTCCTCTCTCCTGAAACTTGAGATCACTCCCCTCCTCTCCCTCCCTCCCCCCGCCCTGCATTCACAGATCGCCGGCCATCTCCTCGGCCTCCGGCAGTCTGGAGCTCCAACCCTGCTCCCCTCCCCCGCTGTCGAGCGCGCTGCTCTGCAGCACAGTAAGGGGGCTGGGGGTCAGAGAAGCGGCAGGGAGGTTGGGGGGGTAGTCAAGAGACAGGGAGCAGGGGGAGGGTTGGATGGGTCAGG